CATACACACACACACGCACACACACACACACACACATACACACACACACACATACACACACATACACACACACACACACACACACACACACACACACACACACAAAGGATACTGCCCCAGTATAGCCTGACACAGTTTGTCGTCTGGGAAGAAAACTGAGTGAGTCAGCAGAAAATCCTCCAGCAGACTATCTGAAAACGTGGGAAACAAAACAGCATTACACTCAGGTGGTGGCGGATAGACAAACAACATAACAGGTGGTGACGGATAGACAAACAACATTACAGGTGGTGACGGATAGACAAACAACATGACAGGTGGTGACGGATAGACAAACAACATAACAAGTGGTGACGGATAGACAAAAGGATAGACAAACAAACATTACCGGTGGTGGCGGATAGACAAACAACATAACAGGTGGTGACGGATAGACAAACAACATGATAGGTGGTGACGGATAGACAAACAACATGACAGGTGGTGACAGATAGACAAACAAGATTACAGGTGGTGACGGATAGACAAACAACATAACAAGTGGTGACGGATAGACAAAAGGATAGACAAACAAACATTACCATTACAGGTGATGGCAGATAGACAAAAGGATAGACAAACAACATTACAGGTGGTGGCGGATAGACAAACAACATGACAAGTGGTGACGAATAGACAAAAGGATAGACAAACAAACATTACAGGTGGTGACGGATAGGCAAAAGGATAGAGAAACCGCATAACAGGTGGTGGCGGATAGGCAAAACGATAGACAAACAACACTGCAAGTGGTAACAGATAGACAAACAACATACCAGGCGGGGGCGGATAGAAAAACAACATTAAGGACGATGGCGGATGGATAAAACGATAGACAAACATAATTACAGGCGGTGGCGGATAGACAAAAAAAGTCTCCATGAGCATTGGTGAATAGTCAAATGAGTCCATACAGGCGTCGGCAAATAGACAAAAATAAATCTCCATAAGCGTTGGTGAATGGTCAAGTAAGTCTATACAGGCGTCTGTAAATAGACAAAAATAAGTCACTATAAAAACTCTGACGACCACCTACCTTCTGCTGTCGTCTCGTGATGCTCTTTCGAATCTAGCCGAGTTTCCAGCAAATATTCCAGAATTTTCTCTGGGGTGCCAGCCATGACAGAGTATCTGGGGAGAAAAACATGACGGATAAACGTCAATGTTTACAGATAAAGGTGGGTGAGTTTTTTCTACGAATGAAGGACGCCTTCATCAACACAAGTTCGATCATTTAGAAGTTTGGCAGGACGGACAAATATGAACTTTTACAAATAAAGATGACCCACCAAACCCACTCACTTGTACCACAAGAAAGAAACGACAAGAAAGAACTGCTAACATCTACGGTGACCCACCCACCAACCACCCACTCACATGTACGACAAGAAAGAACTGCTGACGTCCACAGTGACCCACCCACCAACCACCCACTCACTTGTAAGACAAGAAAGAACTGCTGACGTCCACAGTGACCCACCCACCCACCAACCACCCACTCACTTGTAAGACAAGAAAGAACTGCTGACGTCCACAGTGACCCACCCACCAACCACCCACTCACTTGTACGACAAGAAAGAACTGCTGACGTCCACAGTGACCCAACCACCCACCAACCACCCACTCACTTGTACGACAAGAAAGAACTGCTGACGTCCACAGTGACCCAACCACCCACCAACCACCCACTCACTTGTACGACAAGAAAGAACTGCTG